TAGTTAGAAGAAGTTAACTAAAGGTAGAAAAATATAAATTTATATTCTATAGTATATTCTTTATAATAAAGAAGAATAGATTACTATAACTATATATTAACTATAGACCGCTTAATAATAAAACTATTAAGGACTATTATTTTATTCTTCGATAGAATAAGTTATAGAATCGCTTCCTAAGTATCGTATAGTTTATCGCGTTAGATACTAGAAACGCCTATTACCTAATTAGAATAGCTAATAAAGAAGAATAGAAAACGGTATTTCGAATAAGATAGAAGGTCTACGAATTCCTAGTTATACCTTTTAGACTTACTAATATATTATCGACGTTCTAAGAATTTATAAATAATACTCTAAGAGAATATCTAGATATATTTATTATTATCTACCTCGATAATATTCTAATCTTCTTAAGAACTTATAAGAAATATATAGAATATATAAAGAAAGTAATAGAAAAACTAAAGAAAAATAGAATTCTACTTAAGCTATCTAAATACGAATTCTATAAGAATAGTATTAAATTTCTAGACTATATTATATCTTCGAAAGAACTCGCGCCGAACTAAGAAAAGGTTCGAGCTATTAATAAATAGCTAGAACTAATAATAGTTAAGAAAGTATAGGCGTTCTATAGATTAATTAATTATTATCGAAAGTTTATTAAGAACTTTTCGAAAATTATAGTACTAGTTACTAACTTAACTAAGAAGAAAATAATCTTTAATTTTAGGAAAAAATATAAAAATATCTTTAAAGAGCTAAAGCGACGAATAACGTTCGTACTAATTTTATATATTTTTAATCTAGAAAAGGAAGTAACTATAGAAATAGACGCCTTAGATAAAGTAATAGAGGAATATCTTAAATAAAAAAATAAATAAGGAAAGCTTTATTTAGTAGTATATTATTTAAGGAAACTAAGCGGACTCGAGGCGAATTACGATATCTACGATAAGAAACTACTTATAGTAGTAGAATACCTAAAAATATAGAGAATATACTTAGAAGGAGCTAAATACTTAGTATAAATATACTTAAACTATAAGAATCTAATATATTAAACGATAACTAAAGAACTTAATAGAAGATAAGTTAAATAGGCTAAAACTTTAGCCTCTTACGATTTTAAAATTATATATATTCGAGAAATAGAGAACGTTATAGTCGATATCTTTAGTCGAAGAATAAACTATATAGAAGAACTAGAATCGAAGCTAGCGGCGCTTCTAGAAAAAAGAAAGAATTACCTAATATATAGAAAAATAGAAATAAGAATACTTATAATATTAGAGATAAAATTAACGACGAAATAAAAATAGAAAATTATATAAGTAAGATATAATAATAGAAGTATAGAATACCTAGATATTAATAAAATAATCGAATTAGTAATACGAGATTTTACTTAAGTAGAATTAAGAAAAGACGTCGAGGAATACGTTAAGAATTACGATATATACTATAAAGTTAAATACTCGAGATATAAACCGTATAGTTTATTATAACTAGCGGAAAATATAAATAAGGTATAGTTAAGAATAGTAATAGACTTTATAGTTAAGCTACTACTATCGAAAGAATTAATAACGAGTACGACTTATAATAGTATACTTATAATAAACGATATACTAATAAAATATATTTACCTACTACTATATAAAGAAGTATTAATAGTAGAAGAACTAGTATATATAGTTATAAGAACGATATTCGCGTAGTACGAAATACTAGAGGTTATTATTACGAATAGAAATAAACTATTTAATTTATAGTTTTAGTAATCGTTAATCGACCTACTAGGAATAAAATATAAGATATCTATATTATATTACCTATAAACGAACGAATAAACGGAAAGAACGAACTAGACGATAGAGTAATACCTACGATACTATATAGATTACTAATAAAGAAATTAGGTCGAGTTATTACTAATAGCTTAATTCGCTTTTAATAATAATATATCGGTAATTAGAATATCGTCGTTCTTTACGAATTATAGGAGATATCTATGTCCGGGGGACAAGGTTTAGGATCTATTATAGAAGTAGCTAAAGACCGTAGAAAGAAGGAGTAGAATATATAGTCGCTTTCTATCTTATTAAATAACTTAAGAT